GTGGATCTGCTGATGACTCAGTGGGCGTCCGTTTTAAGCGCGGCAAGTTACCGTTGAGAGGTACGTTTCATCAGGATAGTGTAAGTAACATTAAGCCCGTCTACTGCGTGATTCACATCGGCCTGGAAGCAAACGCAGCGAACCACGTGTTTATTACATTGTAGTGAGAGAAGACTGACTTAGCAGCTCCGGTACTCTAAGTCCTGAAAACTGTAGGCTCGAGATAGCGCGAATGGCGGAGGCGGCCGGAGCCGTCCCTAAGCGTGCGCCACAGCTGGATAGACTCCTACATAGTGGGATGCCATAAACGCCACACTAAGAGGGAAACATATGTACCAGTCCACACAAGCACACAATGGGTTGTCCACATGGTTCGAGATATCCTTCCAATTCACGGGTTTTAGCGCACCACAAAATTTTCAAGCGTATTGGGTTGTTTAGAGTGAAAAAAAGAAGTAGGTTGAGACATAAGCCCCACTCCCAGGTCCTCAGCCATCGCCTAAGCCGGTACATGGACAATTGCAGCAATTGGACGCTCCTGTTTATATATATGCTTATAGTAGTAGCCCTGCGAAACACACTTAATTGGTACGAGCTCGCGAGGGGACAACCAGGATGGGTACATCCTGAAAAACAGATCGGTGTAAAATTTACTACTATATGTTTATATATTTATCGCGAAATACGTGCATGACGTGAACACCAAAACAAAACGCTCGGATTTCATCGCAGGGGTTTAAGTAAGTTAAACCCTGGCAACTGCAATCTTCAGGTCTGGTTCCTTAAGAGGTATATGAGGAGTCAGGGATAGCCAGATTGATAGGAACAATGTATTCTGAGTCAGCTACAGGACGCTGATTGGCCCGACTAGTTTGGGGTGCGTGTTTGCGTCGCATGTTGCATGCTGACATGGGCCATCGTGATGGGTCGAGCGCGACTGGGCGACCAAGAATGCCACTGCGAGACCTCGTCTGTGGCGTCTCGCGTTAGAAACAGGTGGGCTGTAGAACGGCCACAATTTCGCATAGAACGAGGCGAGCGTCGCACACGTCACAGGTATAATAGCGCCACATATCATTTTTAGGGGGCGTGGGGTTCGCATGACAGGCTTCACTCCTCCTGTGGAGCCGGCAATCCGCCAAGGTGTTTACGGTCGTCAAGGTTCAGCCTTGGGTGTTGCTTTTGACAGCGCGAGCTAAAAGCGTTCGCTTGCGACCAACCAATGAACAACAAAATATCGATCGACGCCGGAATGTGCCCAAGTCGTCACACGCGTCACACAGATAGTCGCTGAAGGAACCATTTTATGCGTGGGGGCGGCACGAGATGAGTGTAAGCTCTTTTTGTCCCTACAAGAGCAAAATGAACTTCCTGTAGTAACTGCATTATTTCCACCCTTTACAGGTCATTTCGCTTGCTCTTGCGATTGCAACAGCGCGTGCCATCTCA